ATTAATATATCATATTTTGTTTATCCATTCATCAGTTGATGTACATTTGGCTTGTTTCCATCTTTGGTTAATATGAATAATGCCGGTATGAACATTTGTTTGCAAGTTTTTGTGTGGTCATATGTTTTAATTTCTCTTGGGAAAATACCTAGCAGTGGAGTTGCTGGACAATGTAGTAAATCTATGTTTAACAATATGAGGAACTGCCAGACTGTTTTCCAAAGTGGCCATACTATTTTATATTTCTACCAGCAGTGTATGAGGATTCCAATTTCTCCACATCCTCTCCAACACTTGTTATTATCTATCTCTTTTTATCATAGGCATTCTGGTAGATGTGAAGGGGTATCTCATGGCAGTCTGGGTTTGCATTTCCGTAATGGCTAATAATGTTGAGCATTTTTTCACATCCTTATTGGCCATTTTTAATCTTATTTGGAGAAATATCCATTCTAATCCTTTTGCCCAAATTTTAATTCAGTTATTTGTCTTTTTATTATTGAGTTATAATAGTTACTCTGTATTTTTTCCAAGTTTCCAAGTCCTATAAGTCCCGGCATAAAGTTGATTTTACTTTATTAAGGAAAGCATTCCCAGCAAGCCTTCTCCTGGCTATGAATTCTATAGCATAAAATCCCTTCATTTGTAAACAGGGCCCCCCAGGATAAGTTTAAACTGGAGTTTCAGTCTAAGCCAAAGTTTACTTCTAGAGATGAATGAACCCACTTTGCATTGTCAGAAAATAAATGCCATGCAGCCCACTATGTTTTCCTTGTTTTTAGTATTACCAGAGAACTTGGAGACAATTCATTACCCTAAAGTGCTTTAAATCTACTTAAACTAAAGTGCATTTTGTTGACTTCAAACGGGATTTGGTTTGTTTGAGATTTAAATGCCTCTTTGCGCATATATTTTAACCTCTATGTCATCTCAATCCTTCCAGAAGCAGTCGTGACAAATCTTTTGGGAAAAAATACTGAAAAATGTGAAAAGGGTACTTACAGATATTTATGTACCAGAAAAAGTTACTTTTTGTTTCCTTTATGCCATAAAACATGATCAATGTCTCTGAGAATAAAGTCTAAGGCTACCTGTAGTATATTAAATTGTAAAGGTACAGTTGTCTTCATCAACAAAATGGAAATCATAAAATCTTTCTAAATGTAGGAAGGTAAAGACTAGAAGTTTTTGAATTAATAAAAGTGAAATACTTACTGTATTTCTATTATTTACAGTGATCTACGGCTGCATCTCTCCCCATTTCTGGATGGGGAGAGGTTGTGTGGAAGTATCATGCAGTATCCATTCTTCTCCTACCCATAGGTAAGGCCTAGGCAAGACTTCAGATTAGATTCAGATTTTTTTTTCAGGTAGACACAGCCCCTCCTCTTTTAACAATTACCTCGCTAATATTATCCCTTTGTGCTCCCGCTTTCCTCACCAAGTTACTTTTATCAAATATTCATTTAACAGGTGATTCCCCAACTCTCTCATTGAAGAATATTTGCATTTTCACAGAATATTCTTAAAGAAGAAAATGCTTTCATAACCAAAGGAATACATTTCTCATAGTACACTAGTATTCTCCTAGGAAAATTTTTGTTGACTTTTTGAATTTTTTTTCTATTTTTCTGAGGTTGATAGCAGGTATTCTTCATTGTCCTATTCAAATAAGAAAAAACATTCAACATATGCTTGCATACATAAGTTTTTTATAGCTTCACTTCTTTTTTTGATCAAACTGTGTTGCCCAATTTGATGGCCCACCCAATTTATATCCCTTAATCATTGGTTTTGAGAATAAGCCAGTTCCATATTTGATAGGAAATTAATCAAATTTCCCATCATGGACCATTGAAAAAAGAATATGTAAAATGCTATGGGGGGGGGGTTTCAAAGAAAGAATAATTCCAAAAATATTTCTTAACAATAGAAGCATCATTGTAAAAATGCAAATAACCTCCCAGAGACACTACTTTGAAAAGCCAGCAGTAATTTTAGCATTTAGCTATTTGCTTAAAATATGAGTCCTGCTACTATCAAAGCTTTGCAGGTACTAACTTCTGTTATTTTTCTAATGTTTAACATGGACTGTATATGATTGGCCCTGAAACAAGTAAAAACACACTACAGCAGCTGTGATTAAGATGATCTCTTATTTTTGTAGCTTGTCTCTTGGCCTTTTGAAAAATTCAATGGGCAGCTGACCAATCAGCTATTTTCTACGTATGAATTGTGCAAGGAGGGGACTCTATGGCACGTTCTCCATGGACTGTAAACTTTAAAAAGGACAGGGTACATTGCCTATTTCTTCACATTGGTTTAATTTCCTAGTTGGAAATTTATTTTTTTAATGAGTGGGTTTCTGGCCTTTTCAAATCCTGCAAATCTTTTTGAAAATAACTATAGTCATGAGAGTGTTGACCACAGACACAAAAAATCAAACTCAACCAAGAGTATAATCGAACTAGTATTTTTTAGAGGCAATTATCATGTAATTTGCTGTCAGTTGCAAGGAACAGAAAATTCAACACAAAGTGGCATACAGAAAAAAGGTAATCATTGATTTAGTATAGATTCCAGAGCTATGTGCATCCTCATTTATATCAAGTGGAAAATCACAGGAAAGTTTAGTTTCCTATATATTTCAATTTGAAGATTTGGAACTTTTCAAACATGATGGATCAGACCAAATCATGGGCCAAAAACTGACCTCCTAGTGTCTGTGGTTTAGAAAAATGTAGTTGGATTTAGCTCATGAAGGTTTTCTCAAAAGCTAAAGTTAAAATCAGACTTTATCTATGTTAGTTACAATGCTGTTGGCTGCATGTAATAGAAACTTCAACTCAAATTAGCTTAATGCCTAAAGATATTTAAAATATCATGTAATAGAAAGTGTAGAGAGAGGAAAGACTTCAGGTACAGTTAAAATAGGATTCCAGCTTCTTTGCAGTTTCCTTGGCTTTGCTTTCCTCTATGTATTGACTTTATTAAAATGGGATGGTTTCTGGACTTTTCAAATCCTGCAAATCTACCCAAAAGGTTTCAAGATGACAAACATAGCAACTCAGGCAACTGAACAGGACAAAGAAAAAGCTTTACCACAACAATAAAATAGCAGGCTTTCCTTTCATCTTATGTCAACCCTGATGTGATATTAGTCACCAAAAGAATGCCATGATCTGCCTGGCCTACAGCTGAATTCCTTTATTGGATAGGGAAGCAGGATTAACATGATTGGTTTAGGATTGGCAACCACTTTTGAGCTGGGGATGAGACTGGCTTCCCCAGGTGTCACAGAGCACAAGAATTCTGAACATTTAAACACACTTTGTGTTTTGTAAAAAGGAAGGCAGTAATAGATGTTGGGCAGTCAGCCAACAGCGCTCAGAACACATCCATGCCACACTGGGGAAAAGGAGAGGATAGCCAAAGGGTACAAAGTTACAATTAGAAAGGAAAAATAAGTTCTAGTGTCCTATTGCACAGTAGATGACTATAGTCAACAATAAGTTATTGTTAGATATACGTATCTAAAAAGAGCTAGAAGAGAGGATTTTGTATGTTCATACCACAAAGAAATGATAAATGTTTGAGGTGATGGATATGTTCATCACCCTCAATTGATCATTACACAATGTATACATATATCCAGACATCACATTTTACCCCATAAATATGTACAATTATTATGTGTGAATTGAAAATTTTAAAAAAGGAAAAAAAAGAAACGAAATGAAAAAAAATAGAACTAGCATTTACTATGTGCCAGACACGATATACGAGGTGATTTCACATTTCTAAATATCCTCATTTTATTGATGAGAAAGTGGGAGACTCTGAAATTCATTATTTTACTAACGCTTGCAACAGAGTAAAGTGTTCTGTCATGAATCACTAGGTAAAAAGAGCGATCAATTTCAGTGAGAAAAGGAAAAGACACTCAGGGTTCTTACACACCCAGTCTGTACCTGGCTCTGTGCAAGGCAAATACAATATCTCACTCTCCGTGTCATACAGTTAAATAAAACAAGATTTTGAGAGGTTTGGTAATATGCCCAAAATTGCATGTTTGTGCATCAGGGTGCAAGAAGCCAAAGACAGGTGGCTCTGTCACCTTCTGACTCCACAGACTGTTCTTATTTCACTATATCATGCAACAACTTGGGCTATCAGGTAGGTACTTTTATTGGAAATAAGCCATTACTAATTGGGAATATCACTCTGCAAAAGTACAAAGCACCTAAACACAATTAAAGCCATGCCTTTTTGTATAGATTGAGTAACATGTGATGTCCTCTCCTCTCTGCTACTAACCCAGTGTTCCGAGGGCAGTGTGCAGCCTGAGAGTTTCCTAAGGAAGTAATTTAGAAGATGCTCCAATGCCTGCATTTTCACAAAACAGATATATAAACTACAAAGTAGTAAATAAACTGTAAATTCTTCCAAAAATTTAATCTCTTTTCTGCATTCCTCTTTTCCTTCTCTAATTTGGTGCTGTAATCTGATTTGGCTAATGTCTGACATAAACTTGTGAGTGAACAGAACCAGTATATACATACCACACACAGTTCTCTTATGTTAAATATACATTCTTTGTAAGGTTGAGCTTTAATCAATGTATATTTGCTATGAATTAAGTATTTCAGTTTTTTTATTCCATTTATTAATAAATATGGAATTCATCTCCTCTACTGGCCAGGGCAAAGGATTTTCCATGAAACTAATCAATACTTGTAACTCTTACTGAGGTAACTTTTTATCTCTTGAGTGCTGTAAATAATTTATCACCTCAGCCTTTGGAGTCTTTTATCAAAATTCTAGTTTCCTCTACTTTGGAGAATTCCTTTAATTAGTCAGCCTAATATCATCTGTCTCTATGGCTACAAATGTGGCAGGGTAAAAAAATGATTGCATGTTCAAAACAAACATCCTGGAAACTTTCCATAGGCCTCATCTTGTTAAAGAAGGGACTTCAACTGAGTTTTGAAAATCAGTACCTGATTGGGGAAAAAAAAAACTAACCACCTTCCCTTTTTGAGATGTCTTTTTCTTTGCCTTTGATCTATTAGCATTTTTTTCACAAAGAACAGCATGCAATATTCAGGTTTTCTGCTGGACATGTTCATAAATAGTTCATGGATTTCCCAAATTTCCCAGATTTAGTTTTCAAAATTCCATAAAAAGCTACTCTCAGCTATTTGACAGACATTTTCAAATGTTGCTGCAAAAGAACAGGAGAAAATATTCGCAAACTATACATCCAATGAAAGGCTAATATTCCAGAATCTACAAAGAACTCAAACAAATCAGCAAGAAAAAAACCAAACAACCCCATTAAAAAGTGGGCAAAAGACACAAATAGAAGTTTTTCAAAAGAAAATAGACAAATGGCTAACAAACACATGAAAAAATGCTCAATGTCACTAATCAACAGGGAAATGCAGCCCATATGTTCAGCTGAATCAAATTTTCCATGTATTTTAAAACTGTTAGGTCATAATGCCTTTAGTTGGGACATGTACTCTCCTGTCAGTTACAAATGCCACCGTTCCCTATCACTGCATATCATCAACTTCTCACATTCCCTTTACCTTCTTGGCCATTGAAGGCATTTAGGTTTACCCTTCCTGTCTGACTTAGGTCAAGGTACCCTCTCCAGAAAGGAATGTATTTTATGGAAGTATCTTATCCCAAATCCTAGGAAGCATTGATTCACAAATGCTTCCTCCTTGTATGAATGCATTCATTGAGAACCACTGGGCTTGCTTTGTGCCAGGCACACTCTGCTAGATCCTTCAGAAGATACAAATATGTTTGAGATATTTATCTGTAGAGGTTTAGAATTTAGTAGGGGAGGCAAACATGCTTGTCTCCAGAATGGAATGTCATAATTGAAGGGCCATCACTGGATAGGATGAGGGGGAGTGGGAAGCATTCTCTGAGGAGAGAAGTGACTTGTGCTTGTAGAATCCATGTTTGTTGTTGAAATTTCAATTGAATGTAGCTAATGGAACAGCAAAATAATGAGACAAGGCTGGGACTTGCTCTTCCCTCACTGCCTCAGTCAGTGACAGGTGAAAATTATAATTTAATTAAGTATCTCCTCATAGGGGAATTGATACTGTGTAAAACGTATTATCTGACATCTCTTAATTTTTAGGATTTTTATATAACTCAATTTTGAGGCTAAAACATCTTGAACCAAAATGCTGAAGGCTGAGCAGTATCTGAAAACAAATTTCAGTCTATCATGTTTTGCCTGGGTATCTTGGTCAGTTCTGCCCAACAGAAATACAATAAAAGCCATAAATGTAATTTTCAACTTCCTGGTAGCCACATTAAAAATGTTTAGTGACACAGGTGAAGTTAATTTTCATAATAAATTTTATTTACCCTAATACATCCAAAATATTCATTTCAATATCAAATTATATGAAAAGATATTAAGGAGATATTTTCATTCTTCTTTTCATATGAAGTCCTTGAAATCTAGTGGGTATCTTACACTTACGACACATTTTCATTCAGACTAGCCTCATTTCAAGTGTTGAATAGCCACATGTGGCTTAGTAACCACTATATTAGAGCAGTTCTCAATGTCCTTAAAGCTTCTTTAAATATCTTGGAGAAGGCATGTGTGTTAAGTAAGTAAAATGTTAAGCAAAAATAATATGGCTACTTTATTTCTTTAATGTTTGAGGTTCTGGAAACAATATATTTGCTAGCTGATTAACATTTTTATTCAAGTAGAAAATTGTTTGCAGTGGTTCTTTCTTAATCATGGCCATGTAGTTCACCATAAACTTATTTCAACAAGAGGTTACCATTTTCACAATTACTGCAGACTCCTAAATTGAGAAGCAATCTTTTTTTCTCCATTACATGTAAACATCTGAAATCTAGTATTTTCACTTAAAGAAAACCCTTTGGTGTGATACAAGACCTACATGGATTTCATTTGATGAACTCCATCTTCCTGCAGAGATATCGAACTCCATTAAATGATTAATACATAAGTTTTTTTTTTCTTGCTGTTGCAATTATTATCAAATGCCCATTCATGAACTAGATGTCATAAAGAATAATCCAAGTTTAGGGACAATATCTGCACAGCAATAATAGGCTTATGAGCTTTGCATTATTGCATTTTATTTTCCTGATCATGTACCTCTGCCTTTACTTCTGTACTGTGCGCTCAGTACGGTGCACGTTGCCTGAGTGCTCTGTAGCTCACTCAAGGAGAACTATGCTTCAAAGAGTCCTTTGGCCTGTGTTTATTGAGTTAGCACTTGGTTCCTTTCTTTG